AGTCAGGACCTTGGTTTTACATCTCATCCGAAGGACGGCGCCTGTTTACAGTATAGTGTCCCCGTCACTATACTGGGGCATTAGGACCCACATGGACTGCAGGGTGAGCACCCCCTGCTGGCCCCACTAACACCTCTTCCAGCAGCAGGAGGTAACTAGGAATACTGCTCTGATTTTCTTTAAAGAACCCATGGCACTTTTTGGTAGAACAGAGGTGTTAACCCCACTGTTCCGGCTATATTCTAATGTGGTTTTTTACAATATGGCTTACCTAATGTCCCTCCTTCAACTGGTGAAGTGATTCCTTAAATCGTTTACGTGAAATTTTAGTGGGACTGCTGGTTCATCATGGATATCACACTTCAGCCATGCTGTACTTCAGTGCTGGATGTAGTGGCTAAAACCTTAAGTGCTTTGAAATCCCTTAGAATGGAGCAAATATATCAGGCTGAAACTGTATTTAAACAACATGTTGATTAAATAATGTACTATCTTTGCATTTATTTCTTATTCTTATATTGAATGTCTTTGTGGGAAGCTTCTTTATCATCTTATCATCAAGAGCCCAAGTCATTATTATTATTAGTGTCTGCTGTTAGTCATAAGACTGGTTTCATAGACCACAGTCAGAAGTGGTCCTGGATTGTATTATCTAAATTAGCATTAGATAGCATAAACATGTACTATCTGATTTAGGATTATATTTGTCTGCATTATCTATTTGCTCCAGTGATATATCTGTATATATTTTTTTTCAGTTTCAATTCAACCATAGAAACTAAAGATAAAAGGAAGAAGAACAAATCTATTCACTTCCAAGAACAAGCTAACAAGCGTGTTGAGAGGTATGCTCACTAATTTGACACAGAACCTCAAATTATGGTTCATATGGTTATGGTTAAATTATGGTAATGGTTGATATGAATGAGGAAAGTTGTTTCTATTTAGGTTTTGCTTCATTTGTGAAATATATTGTCATGATTTCTGAAGTTACTTTGTCTTATTTTACCAAAATATTAAATAATTTTATGGGGAAACACAGGAAATGATATTTGTTTATTGAGTCGCAGTGAGGTTCTAGAGAATAGAGACTTCAGGTTTTCCTAAGTTACCTGAGCCACTTAATGTTTGTCACTAGACCAATTTCTTAATTCTTCATCTCAGATTGTATGATACCAGCAATTTAAAGAACCCTTTAAAACCTGCTGGTCTATAGTTCTTGAAGACAAAAAAAAACAACCTTGCTTAATCTAGTCCAAACAAGATCCCAAGAAAATACTTAGCATCAGGATAACTTAGAAGAAGTAAAAAAAAATTTAGTTACCTTAATAATCCACAATCCAAAGACATACTAGTAGGCTAATTACTGTAGCTTCTGGGAGAACTGGGCCTGGTGTGTGCCCTGCGATAGATTGGTATATCATCCTGGGTGTATCCTGCCATATTCATTATGGTTGCTAAGACAGGCTCTGGCCCCACCACGACCATGAATTGAATAAATCAGTTAGAAAACAGAAGCATGAAAGTTGCTTCTGATTACAGAAAGGAAGCCTTTATTCCAGTTTACCTCTGCCAAGCTCAATGTATCGCCCTTTGTCACTGCTGTGGCAAACCAATGAAAATGTCCTCTTTTATTGTATCCTTCTAAACCCATGATTCAATAGAAATTACTCTTTCAACAGGTTACTGCCACCTTCACCTATTCCCACAAGAGGCCCTACTGGTGTTCGCACAGCTGTGGATAAAAAATACAATGGGAAAGCACAATTAGGCACCTGTAAACCTTCACTGAAGCATGGACCACATGATCATGTAACCATTGAAGATGTAAAGAGTAGGTTCATGGCATGGGTTCATCAATTAAACACACTGTCTAGTTCTTTTACACATGCTCTTCGTGTATAATTATCACATTCGCATTTGTGTGTTTGTCTTGCAGATGTGGCATTTTCCTTGCTGCAGGAAAATGAGCCAATACCTCTGTGTTTTATGTCTCTAATGAGGTATGTTAAGTCTGTTCTGCATTTATCTAGGCAGCTCTCAGAACATCTCAGCTTTTAGGCCTTTTTCAGTTTGTGTTCAAGTGTCAAAGTATTTTTTTTTTACTTTAAGTTTGGTAGTCACAATTGTGAATCCACCTGATCCATGAACCACAATTGTGAATCCTACCAAATGGTAGAGAGGAAAAGTTGGTTTTGTTGTCAAGGTGTTATGGCAGTCTTTTCTGATCAAATTACATATTACAACATAAGATGAATTACAAACGAGGAGGCCATTTGGCCCATCTCCCTCTTTGCTGGCTATCATGCTTACACATACTCCAAACTTTTTGTCACACTATGGAATAATAGTATTATTGTATGTTATTGTGCTCTTAATTCTCCCATAATATATTTCTGTTCTAAATACACACATGGCTATGTGTTAAGACCCATAATCAAACATATGTTACTGATAACACAGCAGTTAGCTGATCTTAACCTCACTAAAATTAGATTAGATGTGTTTGACAGATCAGTAAAAAATAGTACATAATACATTTAGTACTTAGTATATACAGTATACTAGTGTGATTTATAGCACAAGATGGTTGTATTTCAGAAAAAGTAAAGCAAAAACATGTTTATGTTGCATTTTCCTGCATGAGTGAATCCAACCCTGAGTGATTAGTTCATGGACTGTGAACTTTCTTACTAATAACACTTGTCACAAGACAACTCCAGCACAAACTCTGCACCAATACAAAATTATACTAGGCAAAATAATGGTTTCAGACTGACCCCTGTGGACACATGTACAGTACATGAATTCAGAGCTGCTTCCAGACTTACTGTACCGTACATTCATGTTCACAGTCGGGATTCAAATGTAATGCTTTAACACTAAGCTGCAATAAATAAACATTTTATGTTACATGAACAAATTCTTAATTGTTTGCTGACATTTGTTTGACAATATCTTATAATAAAATAAAGAAGATAGCTATTCTCAAGAAATGTATTTTTCTCCATAGGTGTCAGCAGGTAAATGACTTTCTCTCAGCCCTGCTGCTGTATCTATCTTGTTATTTTGAGAAACAGGCATTGGAAAAAAAAACCCAACCTTTAATGGCGTAAGTATGTTTTATTTCTCTGTATGGTAAGCAGGGGTTATATTTTAACCAATGTTAAAACTGTTGTATATACTGTAGCGATTTACCATATTTATGTTGATCTAAATAAGTCTCCTTTTTATTGGAAAATATGTCTGTTAAGAAAAAATTGTAATCTTCTTTACAGTGATTACCATAGGTGATACTGAGTGTCCTTTTTAGTTTTAAGTTTTCAGTTTCTATTAAATTGGGTACTGGGAGTGACAAGGGAAAATAGTAACAAAGAGATTAAAAAAATACCATTCTCTTTGTTTTTCAAACTTAGGGAACCAAGTTTAACAGAAAGAAAAAACATGGAAGAGGCACATATAAAAGTTGAACTTGCAAAAAAACAGCTTGCTTGCGCATACTCTGTTCTGGTTCTTGGACTTGGGATGTCTCAACAGCACCATATGGATTGTGGAAGGTCAGTAAACAACCACTGTCACTGCTGAATAATTTAGTGGTTGTTTTTCTAAAGAATACATGATGAAACAAGAATGCCAGTGACTTTTTGTTTTGAATGTTATAACAGGATGGTTAAACCGTGTGTAATAACTCATGACAGAAGCCATAAATTGCCTACTTGGTGTGTGCTATACTAGAACTAATACAGTACATATTATACATATTGTGAATTTTGGCACACTTTTCCCAAAGAGTCACATGAGCAAGGGTAGATTCATCTCAGTAGATTCATCTCATTCTGCACTGAAGTAAAGTAACCTCAAAGATACTGTGCAGCAGCTATGCTGTGCTAGTAGGTCAGTGCACAACGTGGAGAATGATTAATTAAATTCTCAATTAGGAAAAGTTGGATAGGTGTAGTAAGGCTAAACCCAGGCACAGCATACAGTATTTGGTGCCATTTCAATCGTTTGCAATTCATTTGCAGCACTGATAGCCATGCAGAGTATTTTGCATCTTTGAGCTTGTATTTTTCATACTTGGGAAAAAAAATACATTGCATACACACTGACTTTTCATTTTTTCCTCATTTAAAAAAAATAATTAACTTATTATATCACTTTATAAGTCATATACAATTTCTTGCATTACAAATTTGTCCTTTCACATACCCCAACTTGCTCTCCATGAGACACACAGGCAGGCAGAGAAGCCTGGGGTCAGCCATTTATACTGTACCCCTGGAGCGGTTGGAGTTAAGGGCCTTGCTCAGGGGCCCAATGGTGTAGGACTCCTCAGCCACGGGATTTGAACCAGCACCCTTCCAGCCACAGGTGCACATTCTTAGCCACAGTGCCACTGCTCCGCCCTGCATTATGTAATCTGTAAAACGCCTTCTCTTAATGTTAACAATAATACTGGGGCAAGGAAGAGCAGGCACCTTACTCCACTTGTTCCAGACCACTAGGCTGTGGCTACTGTAATTCTGCTATGGGTTAGCATTCCATCAGGTGGTCACATTTTCTCTGCATGTCTAAGACAGAAAACGGAATATGCTTCAGCCTCTAGGTTGGTAAATACTACATCAAAGGATTAAATGGTTAAAAAGTGTTTTACTTTTTTCAATACCTATAGCACATTGTCACTTCCATTTCCATTCATTCCATTTCCCAAAATTCCATGCTTAAAGTTATCTTCCGATATTTAAGGGAAAACGTTTACTCTGAAGTATAAAATACGTCAGCACTTTCCATTTAAGTCCAGATTTGTTATTATCCAGGAACGAAAATTAATCATAATAGTCCACTCTGCTTTGTTGTTTGTACATTTGCCAGGAGCAGGGTTTCAGCCACTTACAAAGACCGACAGTTATTTGAGGTAATTAAATTTACTTTTTCATTTAAAAAAAGTAAACGTGCATTTTCATTAAAATGATGAAAAGTCTTCATCAGGATTAGCAAACCTTAATGTTGAGTTTAGAAAAAACAGCTTTTTTTGTTTAACTGTACTTTATTTCTTAATCATATTTAAAAGCAGACATTTAATAGTATCAACAGCTAAAATATATATTTCATTTTCCTGTATTTTTTTTATATCCAAAGGTATAATTGTGCCAATTGGCAGCATACATTTCTTTAATTGAACTTTTGGCTGACTTTAGCTTTGTATCCCTTTTAAGACTCACAAGTAAATTAATTAGTGTGAAAATGGCAACATTTAGCAAAGGGAACTGGCTTCCTATTTACATTACCTTTCAAACTAAAAGTCTATATTAAACATGCCACAGAAAAAAATACTGGACATGTTAAAGTTACATTTTTGACAAAACCAAAATTTGTGCATCTCCAAACGTGGTCGAAATGTGACAGAGACTGTAATCTATAGTGTGGATACTTTTGAATGATATAAATATACTTCAGGATCCAGACATTTGGCTCAATGATAGAATCATTGATGCTTTCTTTTCATTGATGCAGAAAATGGAAATAAAAAAAACACCAGTACTTAATTCTGTCTTTGCAAGTCAGTCCTTAGGCTTTTTTTTCTGGAATGTGACGTGCTACCTCATCTTCCAAAATCCCAAAGCACTACTGGAAGTTTGAGAGAGTAATATTTCCTCAAAAATGTTTAAATTGAAAATTCTTCTCTCTTGAGAATCTGAAAATACAGAGATGTATAAGATACATATGTTTAATTATTTACCCTGGAGGAGGGGGTAGCTATCAGCCATGGACTTTACAGGTTTCCATGCAGTAAAATTAATAATTGTTTCCTCCTCCCTGTGCTGTGCAGCATATTTTATATGTATCTAAAAGATAATAATCTAGATATATAGAGCAGCAGTAGATTGCTGTATGAGTATTTTAAAAGACATAATAATCAAATCTGATCTGATTTAAGAAATAAGAATAATATTTTTTTTTATATTGGAGAGTGCAGATGTACAGGGGTTTGTACAAACACACCAGAAAAACTGGCAAAGACTGTCTAAACCAAAGTGATTTTGTATTAGATGAGGGTCTCTATATCACTTCTCACCCACTTTTGGAGACACAATTTTGGTTTGCTCAGAAATTAGATTTTTTCCTGTTCAGCACTGCATTACACAGTCACAATTAAGCAGCATTATTATTGCAGAAGTGATCCAAAAACACAAGAAGCATTAGCAATAGCACACAGCAGAATAAACCAAGATGATTTTTTATTAGCTCTGGGTCTGTACATTAGATTTTACACACTTTTCTAGATACACAATTTTTGTTTGGTCGGAAATATGATTTTTCCCTGTCCAGCACTTCACTGCAGTGCATCATTTTTTCTAGAGGTGACATAGACCAACCATAGACCAACAACATTAGTGAAGATGCAGAACAGAATGAAAAAGAGTGAATTTCTATTAGCTGAGGGTCTCAACATCGTATGTCACCCCACTTTTGAGATTGCACACATTTTGTTTTTCTTATAGTTATAGTTATATATACATTCATTAATTATCATTTAATACAATAAAATATTTTATATCACTCCTTTAAAACTTTATATTTTAAAAGTTTACATATCAAATCACTTTGCATTGAATGGAAAAAAAATATTTACACAAATGACAATTTACAAGAATATAAATGAAGAATTAATAAATAAAGGTGGTAAGCTTGTCAAATGTAGGGATCAGTATAGAAATCCTGTAGTATGAATTTACAATGCTTTTAAATATTTTAACAAGTGTCTTTATAGCTTCTCCACATACGTAGCGTGGGTGACATTCAGACGCAAAGACCTTAAAGGGATCCAGGAGGAAGTAGGCAGGCTCCTCCGTTCAGACACCTTTAATCATGCTGTCAGGAAGACGGAGGATAATAATGAGGATGCAAGATCGGACACCACTCTGAATGAAGAAATAGGATCCACCCGTGAAAGAAGGTAAATTCCCCCAAAGGTTTTAAGAATAAAAAGTTCTACACTTTAATGATTCCAAAATAAAAAAAAGCTTATTAGACTGCTACATTCTGTTGCAGAATGTGATACATATGGAATAAAGGTGTAGTATTTTGTTTAGTACCTGCAAAAGTAATTGTTTTTTCAATAAAATCCATCACTGTATTATATTCTATATTTGTATAATTAGTTTGGTAGAGAAGGTTCCATTGCTCCTTTCCAATAACAAACTAAACAAAATAGATTTATACAGCTAAAATAATCAAGTTACCGAAAATTCCATTAAAAACTCAGCTAGTTACTTTTTCTCATCTTTCTCCCTGGTACACAAATGCAATTCTATGAAGGTGTTAAGTACTTGTGGAGGGAGATGGGACTGACTGTTCACAGCCAACTTATGAACAACATCAACAGGCCTAGAGGGATGTCCTTAAGGCTGCCAGATTCTCCTTCTGTTCCACTCTTATTGACAAGGGCCACAGTAATCCTAGAAATCTTTTCTCTACTATGAATAAGAAGCTTGAACCAACTAAGAATTCTGCATTTTCCTTCCCTTCATTGAATATTGTAACATAGGCATTGCTATTTTTCCACAGCATAATGCATGTTATTAATAACTAGTTGCTGACCTCATCAATTCAGTCTCTGAAATCTGGTCTTATGGTGTAGGCTTCAGATCTACAGCTCTCACCTCTGAACTCAAAGAAACTGCCCTGAAGCCAAAAGCACCAAAAAACAGTCAAATTTTCAATTTGCTCTTTCTCACAAATATTCTGAAATGTAGTTGAAACAGCCACTTTTAAATATTAATTTACAGATATCTTCTGATTCTTGACCACTATCTTCTAAACTTATGTGCAGCTTTTAATAGTCTCTGACATCTTGGTGATGTGAAAAAGTATCCAGCGATCAATCCTAATTTCCTACATTGGTTTGGATTCTGTTTGGCTACCAGGAGCTAATTTGTAACACTTGAAAGTTTGAGTTTTGGGAATGTGGGTACTCTATGGGCTTCTGTGCTAGGACCTTTACTTTTTGATAGTTACTTTACATTCTACCTGGGTTTTACTGCTATGCTGATGATACTCGTATAGAATAAATCAGATACTATTATTAATTGTTCTCCTTTTAACAGCATGATATTAAGATATTTGTTCCCCGCCCCCCTTCTTTGTAAATGATAAAACTATGTATTTTGCAGGAAGATGAAGTCGAAAAGACCAGCTATCAAGAGCATCGTAAAGCAGCGCTCTCCAGTGATTACATCGCTGCTGCCATCCCCAAAGGAAAAATCCCAGCACCTATTTAAGACAGGTTGCCTAGAGCAGGACTGCTCCACTGACCCCTGTGGCACAAAGTCTCTGATGGAGGAACTTCCAGCTGCTCTGTCTTCAAAGTAACAACATCTTCAATGCCATGAATTGACAATTACCAGTACCCAGGGGCTGCAGTGTCATCTTCTCCTTCCATTTGAGTTATCAATGACTTAATTGATTTAGTTTGCTTACACAGATATTTTTTTCTAGGTCTTTTTCTGATGATTTGACTTTTCTTATTAGATTTGTTAGTTGTAATTGAATCAAAAGTAGTGTAGTGAAAGAAACATCTATTATAGTTTACACATTATAGTTAACACTGTGAGGCTGACATTTGTTGCAAAAAAGCCACCTGATTTGATCTTTTTTTTCCTTTCTCCAAAGCTTGGGAATAATTGGACAACCTCTGAGCCAGTTTAGCCGTCACACTCTGGTGCCCCTGGGGGCTGAACAGGAAGAAGAGGAAGAGGATGATGAAGACCATGCCAGAAACAGCAAAGCTTCATTCAGATCTAAGGGTCCTTTATCCTCAGGAGGAGGGAAATATGCTGGGCTGAGCAGAGCAAATACTGTCATCTCTAGGGCAACAACAGTGGGAGTCTACTCTGATACTGAATAACCAGTAAACCCAAACAACATTTCTTTGAGGGTCTTTAATTCTCACCTCCTTGAAATATGCTTTATGCAAATATCTTTTTATTTACCATTTTTGTTTTCTATATTTTGTTTATGTTCTTAAGATATTTCCATTTTTATTTTATAGAGACTCCATTTTATGTATTAAATGTATAAAAAGGTTAGATATCCCTGAAAAGTTAATATTTGGATTTTTATATCTACATTTGGAAAACCTCCAAGCTTTTTTATACTCTTCAATTTTGAAATCAGGAGCTGTTAATCTACTTGGCTCACTGCTACAATCCTCTTATCAACATTGGAGAGATGAGGACAACACACATGAGCCTTCTTTCTGCATGATTAACAGGGGATGGAGGCAGTGCTTCAGCACTTGCATTGCTTTACTCAGTAATTTTTTTTTTTGAAGTGGAATTTTCAGCAAATGCCCATTTAATCCCCCACAGATATATTTATTTTATTTATATAATTTCAATAAAGGCATTCACCAGCATAATTACATTTATTTTTTGCTTCATTTTCTTAACATAGTTAACTCGCCCTGCCCAAACAATGGGATCTGGTGCTTTTGTTTGCATTCTTTTCATTTTTCCAGTTCACTCTTGTGTTTTCTATTCCCTGTTTTTCTGGATTTTAACACAGCAGTTAGAACAACTATTTCCTTTCAATATGGAATGCAGTGATCACCAATGGGGGAGGAGACATGTGATTCCCTTGGAGACAAAACACCAGTATAAGCACATGGCACACTAGAGTACAGATACCATTTGGCGTCCTTACAAGACTTTGCATGTCTCTCCAGCAAGACCCCTTAAGGAAAATTCCTACACAGTGTAAACTCCCTCAGGGGACATCTTTATGGTCCTCACTGTGCATGTTTGTCATATTGTACCACCTGAATGTAACTCCATATTCCCCTCCTTGGGAAACTTTCAGATGTTTTCTGTGGCTTCTGTGGCTCATAATGCTAATAACGTATTGAGTTTTTTACTCATTAGTTGTGATGACTGCATTCTGTATTGAAAGGTAATGTGGGTTGTCTTTTGTAACCTTGATTCTCTGAAAGGGAAAGTAGTCACTGACCTTTTTGGGTCCCTTTCCTGCTTGCTGTTCATATAGAAAATGACACAGAGTAGCCTCTGCTATCCATAATTCTTCAGAAGGGACAAACACCTTGGGATTGCATAGCTGGACCCCTGTATTAATTTGTTATAAGATCTCAATATGATGTCAGTAGTGAGGTACTTCCTCCATTGGTGATGACTTTATTCCAAGGTTGCAAAGAAATCACACAGTCTTCTTTTTTTAACTCTATTATCAGATTCATAACAGATTCCAGCCAAGTCATTTATTTTTATACTCGATTTAATAAGATACTGTACCTATCTTAAATTCACCCTCCAGTGTTTACCAGAGGGTCAGCTGAGAGACAGTAAGAGTCAGGCTAGCCTAATTCAGTTCTATTTAGGTTATATCTATTTAGGATATAGGTTAAAAGACAATGATAAAAATAATAATACCTTGGACACATAAAGGCCTTTTAATCCTGAAGGATTGACAAGGGCTTTAAGGATGGGTAATGACTGGTAGTACTTTACCCAAAACTGAAGTTTTATATCAAAGTATTTTGAGTAAGTTTGCTCTGGATTACTTCCATTTTGCACTTACCAAAGGTGATCAATGGACTTGTAATAGATTGTGCTAATTTGGAGACATTATCATGTCGTACATTTCTGTAAAAAATGGACAGTACAGCCTAGTTTTAACTTAATATTTTAACTTGGCACCATGTTTAAAACTACTTTATAAGTACCATACTAGACCTTTAACAATTTGGGCAGCTCATGCTTAAAGCCACCTAAATACTTGTTATTTTCACTAATTACAAAATAATGCATATCCTAAATATTTAATCAATAACGTGTGTATACGTTTATGTATGAGGTAAACTAATACATACCCTAAATGTTTCTCTGTTACCAAGGTGTTATACAGCATATAAACTCTCAATTAAGTAACTGAATAATTTATTTTTCTCTTCCTGTTGGGTGTGTTTTTAGCTGTGAACATTAAAACTAAAATAAAACCTAGTATTGTTTTCAACCACTGGGAGGCATTATAATCCAACTAGTTAGAATCACTTTCCAGTGTCAAGCTGTTTTTCTGATAAGAAATGTAAAATAATTTCACAATGTAAATTTATTTTTAAGATTTATTAACAAAATTAATAAATGACTCAGAGATCTGTGCTCTAAATTACACATCTGTATTCTAAGTAAAGTTGAGATATTTTGTGTATCATCTCATTTAATAATACAATGGTGCTCTATAAAGTATTTACCTTCCTGGCAAGATTTGTGTGTTAATAGAATAGATATAGATTTATGCTGTGAATCCAAATAGCTATATCTCTGATAGTAAAGTCATGCTTCCAAGTGAAATAATTACACTAAATATGTTAAATGAAATTGGTTGTAAATAACAATATTCATTTAATATTGGTACCAAAATAATATAAAATAATAGTATTGTGACTGTACAGGAATATATTACACTGAGGAATTATATTATTTTGTACAAGAAGAAAGATAACAGGAAGCTAATCTATTGCTAATATAGTATTGTTTTTAATCTTCATAGTTTTTTTTTTAAAAGCCATACAAGTGAGCTTCTTCCTGTTTTCTTTTTGGCTGAAGCCTGATGCATTATTGCAATGTTGAACAGAAGCACAGTATGACAAATTTAGCCAAAAAGGAATTTCAAAATAGTTACATGAAACAAGATCATATAAGTTGCATCCATGCAAATACATGTACCCACGATTGTTTAGCTGTTCATTAATACACTGTATCAAATGGACATGTGGAACACATTTTCTTAATGAATTAACAGCATTCATTGCCAATTTGCTATCATCATTATACTGTTAGGGAAAATATTTGGGATATAAAAAGTCTTTATGTTTTCCTGCCTTAATAAGATAAGGAATCAATTAATAAATACTTTCATTTTGTCCTTCTTGGATATTAACTCTCTTCTGTATCAATTAAGGAAAATTAATGTATTATTTAATGTATTAAAAAATACATGTATAAATATTTACATAAAGCATAACTGACAACATTACTGTAATACTATAATACAGTATGTAACATATGTAATGTAACATTACAACACTTCATGTCTATTAATACTACATCTGGTACCACTCTCACTAACAAAAGCCAAAATGATTGTAAAACTTCTGAACAGCAGAGGCAAAATTAAAGACCTTAGTTTCATATTAAGTGATGGTTTTATTAAAACAGAATATATTTAAGTAGAATTATAATTGATATTCAATGGAATCATGGTGTGTTAAAGTATTCTGGACATGTAATGCACTATATCCACCCCAGATATTGTAACCTGACTTTCCCTGTACGAGTTCAAGGTTTGATGGACAGCATTAACCTTTGAAAAATTGCAACAGAATTGAGTCTGAGAATTGCGTTATCTGTATAAATCGATCCAAACACTTTTTTTTTTGTAGAACAAAATGTGACTATGGAAAAAACACCAGCAGTTAGCTGTTAGAAAGCTCTTTTCTGTAATTCGATACGGAAATGACTGTATTTCAGAAGCAAAGAAAAGGACATTTAAAAATATATGATTAATAAATAGTCATGCTTTTCTGAACATGCCTCAGCAAAGAAGCTGATATGACTTGGTCTCAGTTTTCCCACCAGTAGTATTACACGTATATTCCTCTGGTTTCAACTGACATACAAAGACCACAGTGCAATTTTCCACAGAATTTTGGATTGCTCCAAAAGAACAGGCATTAAGGGAGGGTGAAGTGTCAAGATTGACACAATGCTCTTTGGTACATTGCTTTTCCGGTAGAATGTATCATGGGACCTTAGCGTAATAAAGAATTTTTAAAATCATTTCATGTAATGTTAAAAAAGTCATAAATTGATTTCTATAATACACAAATTAATCTGTCTGTTATAAAATAATATGCATATCACTGTCCATCAAAGCTGCATCTTTTTTACAATCATTCTTATAACACTGTTGGCTTTTCATTATGTTTTGTTGCATTAAATATCAATTCAGGACTTGACAGTAATTGAACAGCAATTACATAATCATTGACAAACAAAAAATGTTCAAAATGCAATTGTAAAATTAATTTTATTTATGTGTCGCACAGGTTATGTTCTCAAAGAATTCCAGAGTTGATTTGCAAGAACAGGCATAAAGGGAAAGTAACAAGTCTACTTTTGTTCAAATTCCATTTATTGAAGCTAATGCTCTTGCTTATTTAAAAAAAAAGATGAGATCCTCAGGTCAGTTAGCTACTAGAAGCCAGATGAGCAAGACAGCTGTGTCATCTGTGTCCATTCTTATGATTTTATGATCTTTTTAAACAGAGAAAGTACTGTTTAAAGAACATTTATAATTCAGTCTAACCAGGAAAACAAGTCATTCATGACTACAATGTCAAATTAAAAACATTCACAAGCCTGACCAGATATAATCAGTGTGCAGTAAAGTATTATGTGGGTAGCTTAGTATGCCAAGGCAGTAAATACCCTAGGAAGGTTTCTCTGAACTCGCTCTTTGAACTCTGGGCATGTGAAGACTACTGCTTAGCCAAGGTCTGGTGTTAAATGATCTCTAATAGGTGGACCAGAGGTGTGAAAAGGTGAGAGTTTATTAACATCCACTACCGCCAAAGGATGTTGTTGATCTGACCAATTTATGATCTATTCAATTTACCAATTGAATAGATCATGCCTGTGGTCTGTGTTCAACTTGTCTACCAGTTTATCCCACTCTGCTTTCATGCTAACAGAAGACAAAAAAGTATGAATGATTTATGTAGTTGTACAGTACAAGACTTGACAGCATCATGTGTCCCCATTGGAATTCTGTAGTTTTGTCAGAAACTTGTTTACAAATTATGCCACATTGCCATAGTGAAAACATATGGATTAAATAAAAACATATTTGTGGGACTTCAGAAATAACTATAACTTACTTTCTGGAATGAAGAAGTATTAAAAAAACCTTGAAAATCCATCTTTGATAATTAGGCACGGTTTACAAAATATTTTCATATGGATCAAGTGGTAGATACTGTTTTTGCAAACAGCGCTTTCAATTTATTTATTTATTTTATTTTATTTTATTTTATTTTATGCCCCTGTTCTGTAATGCGTACCTATGGGATCACTTGTAGGGGAAGATTGTCCGCATATGCAATACATGATCTGCTAGGTTATACGGGCAAAAAAGTGATTGGTTTCGTCTGTTACTTTAGAGGCTGCGAACAAATCCTTAACAGCTGTTATCAAGTGGAATGTTTATTGGAATACTGTAGAAGATGACATTTCTTGCATTTTAATGTCTGGGATAACTTAGGTTTGTCTTCCTAACATTCAGAAATTCACAATTTTTTAGAGTATAAATGTACATGCTGTCTCATAGATGGTATCATATGAAACTTGTCC